TTGTTTGGGTACTTCCCCCTCCGCCTATCTACGCGAATGAGACGCTATGGACCTTCGTGGATTTCAGTGCTAAACCGACTGTGTTCGTTTGCGGTTGATAGATACAGTGTTACATTTTTTGCGACTGATTTTATGCTGGCGGGTGTCTGTAAGACGTCAGATCTGTGTAAGAGGAATTTTGTTTACAAGATGAATATTTATAATTTATGATTATTTTGTTAGGTTTTTGGTATGGAAGACAAAAATTTACCTGGTCCTTCAAAACGAGTGAAGTATACGGACCCAAATTTCGAGGAAACTGTTTTAAAATTGTTTGAGGAGGTTGATTCCTGCAATTCTGCTGATGAGGACGATGACGTGGCTGACAGCGATTTCATTTTGAGCGAGCATGATAGTGAAAGTGAAATTGATATAAATTATAATGAGGGCATTGATATGACACGTGAATCGGATGTATCAAATTCATCTGGTGGGGAGAGGTCAAGTGAAAATAACACATCAAGATATTATTATGGCAAAAACCGCTTCAAGTGGTCTTCCAGTCCTGCTTTTGTAACAAATAGCAGAACCTTGAAACATAATATCATCTTGAAATGCCCAGGACTAAAAAATATAGCCGCGACAACATCTAATCGAATGACTACGTGGAATATGTTGTTCACGAGTGACATTTTAGAAATTATCTTGCAGTGGACAAACGCAAGTTTAGCACAGTTTCGTACCAAATTTAGGAAAGATACCAGCGATCTTCGGGATATGGATATTATAGAATTGCAAAGCTTCCTAGGAACTCTTCTGAAGACTTCTATTTTCAAATCCAATTATAAAGACATTAGATCTATATTTGCCACAGATGGTTCTGGTAGGGACATTTTTCGTTGCGTAACAAATTCAAATAGGTTTGCAATGATTCTTGCTTGTTTTCGGGTTGATGATAGGAAAACCCGTGCTGAACGAAAACAAACAGATCCACTAGCTGCGATTTCGGAAATTTTCCAAACCAACCCAAGCAATTATCTGCTTCGCAAAGCCGTTATATGGTACAAATAGAAATATAACGGCTGACAACTGGTTCTCCTCAATAGAGGCAGTCACTTTACTAAAAACAAAGGCATTGACCTACGTAGGGACACTGAAAAAAAACAAGAAGGAGATACCAGTCCAATTTCTTCCTCAAAAAAGTAGACAGGTCGGATCATCCATATATGGCTACACAAAAGATATGACGTTACTGTCTTATACTCAAAAAAAGAATAAAGCTGTGGTGCTGATTTCATCGATGCACCATAATGAGTCTACGGATCCTGAAACAGGAACACCAGAAATAATAGCCCACTATAATTTGACAAAAGGAGGAGTTGACGCACTCGATGAAAAATGTACCGTTTACTCATGTAGCAGGAGGACTCGTCGCTGGCCTATGGCCATATTTTATAGGATGGTTGATATTGCATCAGTGAATGCCTATATCCTCCAAACATATTTTCGAGATAACACGGAGATTTCGCGATATAACTTCAAAAAACAATTGGCAATGCAGTTGATAACGCCGGAGCTGAAACGTCGTTTCGGCAACCCACGTATTTCTCGAGAAGCACGCATGAACATAGGGCGCATCCTCCAGATAAAAGAAGAAATTGAAGTTGGTGAAGAGGAGAAATTAGCAATGAGAAAAACCTGCAGAATTTGTCCCTCTAACAAAAAAAGAAGAACGGCCTATTTTTGTATTATGTGCAAACGGCCAGTGTGTTTGGAATGTACAAGAAAAATTTGCAGAGATGGTGCTGTATAAAAAATAAGTAAATCTATGCCTTGCAATTTTTTTATGGTAAATTTGTTTATGTTACCTTTAGGATTTTCTGAATGAGTTATATTCATATTTTATAAATCAAATTAAATAAACACTGTTTTTTAGTATGTTAGGAATATTTTGAGGCAAAATATATTATCTGCCAAGATCCAAAATTGTAGCTTCAATAATCAGAAACTATTTTCCTGCAAATAAACGTTTTAGTATTTATCCATTTGAATACTTTTATTTTGTGCTCAGTCGACCTACAATAATAACCAATTTCCGAATAAAGTGATTAAAAAATATACAATGCCAATTTTTGATAAAATAACATTGCCGTCTGAGAGACGTCACGTCTGGTAGAGTGTGAGTGGAATGTCACCTCTGTGGTTACGGGTTAATAGTGGCGTGCGTACGGGTAATGACTTCGATATTATTTAAGAAAAAAATGGTACGCTAATGGTTTTTTGCCAAATAAAAATTATTTTTGAAGTTCACGTTCATCAATTTAAAACAAATAATCTCTCCTCAATTGTTTTCCTTTGATGCACCATTTTTGAGTAAGAAAATAGAAACCGTTCTTTTGTCTAACTTGCAAAATTAGTATTAATTTAATTGGAAAAATTAAACACATTAGGGGTAATGAACAACAACAACTGACAACATAAACATAACATTGAAACCAACGAAATGATTACAAAAATTGTTGAAAATGGCCCCCTTCACTTGCTAAGCATGCTTCTGTTCTCCTTCTCATGGAATTGGGCACTCGTTGAAATATCCCTGGAGTGTTTTTTTTATTCGATCACAACCTGCAACTATTATTTATCTTCATTCCTCTACAGTGTTAATGGGACTTGCGTACACTACTGTCTTAAGATAGCCCAAGGAAAATAAATCTAAACTGTTGAGGTCTGGGGACCTTGGTGGCCATTCTTGGGGCCCACCGCGGCCAATCCAACGATTTGCAAAAACAGTTTGTAAGTCTCTCCGTCAAGTCGTCCCGGCAAGAAGAATGGGCCAATAAAGTGGTTGCCAATAATTCCTGCCCATACGTTAACCGAAAATTGGTGTTGTAAATGGGTTTCGGTTACGGCCCACAAATGATTACTGTGGAAATTCTGAATGGCATTTCAAGAAAAATTAGCTCCGTCCGTGGACAGAATCATTGATTCAATTTGCGGATTTTCAGTAACTTTTTGAAGATACCACTGACAAAAGGTCACACGCCTTGGAAAATCAATGGGAAGTAATGCCTGCACTCTTAAAATATGGTAAGGTTATAACAAAAAATCCACTAAGATTCTCCAAACAATTCATGCAGCACTGCTTCCTCAATTTCAGGTGTTCTCACACTTAGAGATCTACCTTCAGATGTTCCTTTTCAGATAGATCCAGTTTCAACAAGACGACGAAAAATATTATAAAAGGTTAAATCCGTCTGGCTTGCTCACCATTAGCGTCGGCAAGGCCATATACTATGTAATGCACTTCCGCCATTTCTGCATTTGAATTATTCACCATTATTACTAAGATTGTAAAAACGAAATAATGAAAAAGATGTCACAGCGAACAGATTTGAATAACAGAGACTTCTCAGATTTCAAAAGCCAGTGACGTATTCCAGGGCAACTAGATATTTATTGCTAAATTGCATTCTTCAATTATTACATTAATTTTCTCGGACATAGAATGGTTTTTATTTTTTTACTTAAAAGTGGTGCATGGAAAGAAACAATTAAAGAGGGATCATTTGTTTCAAATTGAACGGGCAATTCACAAATAATTTTTATTTGGCAAAGCCGTTGACGTACCATTTTTTTCTTGAAGAATATCGAAGTCAATACCCGTACGCACGCCACTGTTAAAGCTAAAGATTATTTTTGCATTGAAAATATGCAGCTTTATTAACTTTCACTACGTACTAAATATCAGTGGAATATCTGAAGCGATTCTGAAAATATTAATTATTTCCATTTTTTTCCTAAAACTTCAACACCCCGAGTTTTTGTAAGGAAACATTTTTGATCCATAGTTTATAAAGCAACCTAATATTAATTTTTCATGTAGATTCACACCCTTAAATATTTATTGAGGGACACCCTGTATAGTGGCAGTCGCTTACTAGTGAAGATGGTGGACACTCTAAAAATGTCTGTGCTCTCGTCGAATGCAGACAAACGACTAGACTAGAAGCGCAACAAATCCTATCCAGACCAAATCAAACCTCCCTTTGATGCACCGATCAAGGAGCGAACGCCAACGCCAACCTTGGAAACTGTTGGCTTATGTTGGGTCACGCCGTACACACCGATTCGAACACCTCCAAATCTGCAACCACATAACTATGCCTTGGCTTGCGTTGGGATCTCGAATTGTACGCGGCTTTAGCGATTCACTAGAGAATTTTTGTGTTACATTACATTACAGCACTCGGCTTCAGTCAGTCGCCGCCTTAAGGATGTTAGAATTTCTCTTTCATCTAGAAAAGTACAAGCAAAAATGTGGCGGAACAAATTACAAAATTTTGCTCCCACAAAACGTCTTCGCCCTAAAAAGATTTTAATCTTCAAAAATATTTGAGTGCTTCATAAGAGGATTGCGCCCAAAGAATGATAAGGAGCTATAAAAACAAAAAGTGTTCTCCAGTACTTGCTATGCTCGTGTCACATACTCCTATTTTCAGTTTTCCACTCGCTCCGCAACTGCAGTAGCGTGCGGAAAAGTATCGCTTACAGCAGTTGCTGAGAGAATAACTATTTCAGGAATTGCAGATCCAATATATACTGACTGACAAAACAAAAGTTAAACACCTACGTATGTTTATTAGAATTCAAGAATTTTTTAGATATTGATTGAAAAATTCTCGGACTTACGATACTATTGCACTCACACTACAATTTATATTTATTGTTGGATTACGAATATAATCCTAAATAACTATCTATATTTTTAAAATTGAAATATACCTATTCATTCAGTTATAATACAAATAGTTATCTGATCCGGAGATCATTATATTAAGCAACACTGCTTGAACAAGATCTTGGGCATGCCAGTGCAAAGAGCAATTTTAGTAATTCTATATCTTCGATCTTGGTAGTCAAGTCCACGGCACTTGTAGGAGTTATCACAATTTTTATCTCTGGTATATTAGGTATATTATTTAATTCACAAAGATTAGTCTACGTTGTGTAGTGGTGTAAGCATGTTACGACTGTTGATCTTAACGGGTCTTATCTTAAGCTCTTATGCTTCGAAGACACCGATCATAGGTGTATTAAGTCAGGAAACCAGCAGGTCGAGGAACGATATAGGGGAATTCCAACATAGCTATATTGCAGCATCGTATGTGAAGTTCTTAGAAAGTGCTGGAGCGCGAGTTATACCAGTCTGGTGAGATTTTCACATTAAAAACTAATGTTTTTATTTCTGGTCGTAGTACGCAATAGATACTGTCAAATTTTTATCGAAATCCAATTGATATTTTCTTAATTAGGTTAAGCTATTCGAACTTATTAATACTTGTTTCTAGCGTATTTTTGCAAATCTTGATGGCACAATTAATACTTTTTGCAGGATTGGCAAAGATGATGACTATTACAAAAATGTTGTGAACTATACAAATGGGTGAGTATACATTTGTTTATTTTTGAAGTAAATGCTAGCAGATCGCACTACCTTCAAAAATCAGGGGTGACGTTTCTAGAATGAAGAAGGAGTGCCCATAAGATCGCCCTAATACTATTTTGTTAAAAAAAAATATTCATTTCTTCTATGCTGATAAAACAACGTCAATTAGAGGAAACTCCTCCTCCATGACAGAGTAAAGATCAGTCCGAGGTCAGTTTTAGGTATAATTTTGTAGTTTACGGAGTAAGTAATCATCTCTCTGGCACTGAGACGAGACGAGACTATGACTTGATTTCATTGACCCCAAAAATCACCGAAAAGACCTATAACCCATGCGTAGTCCATGTACGCTGAGACGAAACACAACCTGCCCAAAAGTGAGATTGTACAGGTCCATATTTTCCTCAATGGTCTTGGAATAATCTAATACAATAAATGATTATTCTTATAGAAAGAAGTGCACATACTTTTCACAATTCTTTTCGCTGGAAGTACTTGAATGATCATCCGAATGGTTGATATTAATAATTAAAGGTTCAATCTGAATATCGATCATATTGTCCGGATCCCACATCTATGTTTCGATTGTCTCTTAAAACGTGACGGATGCAATCTTGAATTGAATGTTCTGTTGTTTCTAGCCACATAGTTTTTTATATTTGCCCAAATCATTTCTATGGGATTTAATTCGCAGTGATAAGGGGGTGGCCTTTAAAACGGTCGTATTTTGTTTTTAGCCATTTCATCAATAACATTAACATTATATTTATATTTGTGCTGCCTGAATACATGGATAAGTTATGTTTCTACATATTTTCACTGGAACTAATGTCTTTTGATAGGAACCATTGTTGAATTTTGCCTTTCTTGTGAACATTTTTTTCCAGTGTTCTAGTGAGGTTTGCAGCATTATCAAGTACAATGACGGCATTTCCGTCAAGCTTTGGAAGCGTTTCTTCAAGCAATGTTCAAATGAACCCCCGCCCATTTCTTCATGGTAGTCGGTCGTTTTTTCGTCTGGTATGCCCATAGGGCAGTAGGCACAAAGCCATCTTCACTGCCAATGTTACTGATAATAAATCGTTTTCCTTTTCCTGAAAATGATTATTTCATATAGTATTAAGGAAAACTAATAATAATACAAACAGAGTATCTAACAGGCGTTGGTTCCATATCTACCAGATATAGCTAAGTATAGTGCAGCTAAGTTTTAAGTGTGGGCTCACAGATTCAGTCTACTTGACACCATTTTTCAACACAAATGACGAATTGGTTAGATACACGTACCTGACGGATTCTCTAAGCCAATGGTTATTCCATCTAAGAAGGCTTGTTTAACTGATTTAATTGTAGAGTCAGCCCATACTCTAGGTTTTGTATGCCCTGCATTTATCCAGGTTTCATCCAAGTAATAAATCTTCCTGACCGGGTCGCGGTATTTCTTATTGATTTTAAATAATTTCTTCGCCTTAAAATAATTTCTTGGCTATCCATCAAAATACTATTTCTGACCCGTTTTCTATATTCAAAATGAAGTTGTTTTAGTAAACTATAGAATATTGTCCTTTTGAAAGTAGGTAAGTCTTCATCACTAAAACTCTCCTATAATACTTTATGTCTGTGGAGGGAAGTTCCTGCCTCTCAAAAAGTTGATAGACTCTGCGACTGATGTCATTCCGGCCAAAGTTATCAACTGTATTCAACAGCTTCGTGTAATTCAGCCTCTTGTGTTGTGGAAACATTTTTTGTATATTCCTTAACAATATTGAAAATTGTCTTAGAACATAAGCCTGTTCTGTTCGCAACACGTCTTCCAATAACATGAATTTTCATTTCAGGATGCTCTAAAGTTTCGCTCTTATAAACGTTAAGGACAATTTATTTTGCCTGAATATTCAAATTCCCCTTCTTGTCAAGTTTTCGAGGAGGAGATATAACTGAAGAGGAAGCATTGCTGAAGGAAGCATTGGGAGAAACATTCTTAGTTTTATCTGCTGTATCCATAGACGACATGCTAACGTATGAACACACGCTATGTATGCACCGAATATGAACAGCAACTGCCGGCCTCGGCATGTCGGCCATACCCCGAGCCTGAGCTCTATCCTGCCGAATCCTTTTTTTATATCGAAGCGGCCGCGCACGCAGAAGCCTAAATGCCGGAACACCGCGACTACTATGATAATCCCAAAGAGATTTTGTTAATACGATTTTTGAACTGCCTAAGGTTAGTAGAACTGGGAAAAAACTCAACACCCTCGGGACAAAGGAGCGGTCGTTTCGGCCAGTTCTGGATGTATGAAGTTGACAAGGTTAGGATGGGGCACCAAAGTCAGGCGGGTCTGTCTGGCAGGCACATCGCGCGGTGGCATCATGGAAGAGAGCTCTGATGAGCAAAGCCCGTTGGTCTAGCGATAGAGAAGAGCTAGATCGCCGACGACCCGCCAGTGCGAAAGTGTCCCGAGAGTGTCTGCTAGAGAAGAGTCATTGATCAGCATCGAGCATGGATAATGCACCTGTTCGTAGTTTTATGGCTGAATGACCAATAGTTATTGCAATGCTTAGGCAGCTGACGCTCTGCCGCGCTGCCTTTTTGTTGTGCTAGGGCGTAAATGGAGTACGAATAGGATATAATAGATTTTTCGCTGTTTCTCAATGTTGACCATGAAATGACCTTGAAGTGCGCTTCAAGTGACCTGATACGGCTAAACTGACTTCAGATTTTGACTCATGTGACTCCAAAACCGTATGTCAGTTTAAATACCTGAATACCTAAATACCTGAACCCTTTCTTCGTAAACTAACTAACTGACCTGCGCTGTGGACCGGAACCTTCATGTACGTGCTATTCCTGCTCAAACCCTTTTTTATTAAAATAGTAATAGCTCAAAAATAAGCCTTATGAGCCCTCGTTTCTGTAATATAGTGGAGCGGCGTAAGACATAAAAATAACAGAACCTCGGAAACTGGTCCCACTGAATGAATTATCGAGAAAACCTTTTCGATTGCATTATTAAAATCTTAACTGAAATAGTTCCACCATAAAAATTGAACACTTTCTATCATCTTTGACGATAATTAATAACAAAAACAGGCTAATCCAGCTAACAGCGGCAGTATTAAATAGGTCTAAAAATAATGCGAAAAGTTCATACAATCATAGAACCCAAAATGCACCCTACTAAGGTACAGGGTGTTGAGATTGTGGATTCGAAAGCGAAAAAAATATATTTTCGGGTTGTATTGAGATGTTGAATTGAAGTTTTACATACCGGCGACTTCAGTGGCGTCACAGGGCTACCCCACAGTGTTCGACAACGAAGTCAGATAGGGACAATCCATGAAATGTGGAAGTAGGTACTGTTTGCTTTTGTTTGAGTTTTAATATCATGTCACTACGACACTAAAGACAAAAAGCGTTATGTCAGAGAGCTATTAACAAATAATATAATAACTTGTCCACATAATCTCTTCCCTCTGTAAAAGGCCCAGCCTCGATTACTACTCACATGCTTGGAGTTCTGCCGCCCCCGACTACATTATCCATGCAAAATGCTGTTCAATAGAAGGCCATCTGACTGATCGGCTACTCTTATCTGACAGATAGTCTCGAAACACTTTCCCACCGACACGACGAGCCGTCGGTGGTATGGCTCTCTCCTATCACTGTGTCAACCAGATTTACAAAATTGCTTATAGCACCCGCTATATTTAGGCGGCTGCTCCGGTATAAAAAATGATGTCAAGTACGCTATCTCTGCACTTCGCACACAACGCCGTTATCAGTTCATAGGACAAATTATACCCTCTAAGAAAATAATCAGTCGAACAGGTCTATACAATTTTCCATAGACTTTCTTTTCTGCCCTGCCATACCAGAACAACACAACCCACTAAGGCCGTCAGCAGGTCTCGTTGCTGGCAGCAGCAGCCGCGGCCAGTAGGTACGTGATTCGTTTGCTGAGAATAGTATTAGGGCCAATATACGGAGAAATCTATGATGTGTGAAATATGAAAATTGTGGTATCAGCCTCGTACATTTAGTGAACATCTATTATTCCTGTATATTCCCGACATTTACTTTTCTTATGAGTTCTTGTTAATTTATATGATGTCAATGATATCTGTGTATACTTTCTTACATTGAGGAGTAAACGTACTTTCCCACCATAACAAATTCCTTCAAGATACGATGTATTATAATGAATAATTTTTGAAGCTGTTCGTCGCCTATTTTATTTAATTGGCGCTGCGAACAGGAAAGCCTTCCGCTTGAAAATCGGTTTGCTATTTTCGAGTGTAGGAGAGTCGGGTAGGTACCAAGTACTACTCAATCGACAATCTGAAGATCCAGAAGCTGTAACCCGAGGCAAGTGAGTACTCCAGTTATCGTTTGAGGTATTTGGGTGAACCAAGGATCATCTGTATGAGAAGTTCTACAATTTCAACGAGGAAGAAGACTTCAATCATCCCGAAGAAGTTTTTCGAAGAACCTGACGAGCTTTGAAGTACCTAGCCACGAAAAAAGCTCGAAAGTACAACGCTAGAGGATCCGGTGAAGACTCCATCTGTGAGAATTCATCCGGCCCCTGCCGAGTACAAGAACAAGACGACGTCCGATGCAAGTATAGAGCCACTCCAGCAGATTTTCATGTTCAGTCCTCTGTATTGACCAACACCGGTATCCCAGAAGGACCCAAGCAGGAATTAGTGCTACTAGCGAAAGTCAATTTTAAGTAACACATTTTTAGTCTGTATTCTTGATACTGATTTTAATGCCTTTACAAAATTGTTTTACTATAAGAACGGGGCCACAAGTGACTTCCCCAATTTCAAACTCAAATTCAGTTACAGGAATCTGAGACAAATCCTCCGTTCCATCCGGATTTTGCAACAAATCAAAAAGGAACGATATGCTTGTAAAATCCTTTATCTTAAAATTTGGAGTAGAGTGTCTATTAATTAATTGGCACAACAAGTACGACTATCTCTCAGGCTATCAAGACATAAAACATTTTCAAAATAGCTAATTTAGATTTTATTTGTCATACCGGTAAAAATCCAGATCGAAGACCTAACGAAGACCAAGAACGTTTGTCGCTTTATGCAAAGTCTAAAACGGTCATGTTATATGTATCTCCATTAAGATATGAGGATTTCGATGATTTTAACAGGAAATGATTTGCTCAGTAAACAATTACGAGATAGGTTTTCCACCTCGATAATACAGTGATAAATTGAGAGCCACTTGATTACTAAGATATAAAATTCCGACGTCTGAACATAGCACAATCAACATGTCGATATTCTTTTCATTTGAAGCAAGAAATTCAAAACCAAGTTACAAAATTACTTGACGATGACGTTATTAGACCTATACTAGTCCATACTCATTTCCGGTGTGGATAGTCCCAAAGAAGGGCCGATCCATCAGGCCAAAGAAATATAGAAATGGTTATCGATTACCGAAAACTTAACGAAATCACGATCGAGGCCAAATAAATATCTATTACCGCGTACAGAAGAAATTCTTGAAAACTTAGGAAAGGCAAAATTTTTCTCCACCTCAGATCTTGCCCCAGGCTTTCGTCAAATACCCATGCATCCAAATTCGATAGAAAAAACTGCTTTTTTTTCCGTTGAAAATGGCCATTATGAATATGTACGTATGCCTTTTGGTTTGAAAAACGCCCCTCCAACTTTCCAACACATAATTAATTCTGTGTTACTTCCTTATATTGGTTAATGGTCAGTTCTGTTTTGTATATCTCGATGATATTATTATTTTTTCGAAATATTTACTAAATTTTTTAGGAAAGATGTCAACTGGAGCATGCTTATGAAGATTTAATAACAAATTACGAAACCTTAATTACTCTTTGTCCAAACAGAGGATTCATAAACGGATTAGGAACCATAATTAAAAATTAGAATTTCACATTTCCCCAAGTACCGTAAGGGACAGTTTCCGTATTAGAAAAAGCCACTTGTTGTCGAATTCGTTCATTACAGCGTAAAACAAAAAGTTTTGGAGAAGGCAAGAAAACTTCCTAAAGGTGTTGGCCTGTTTGTCGATAACGATTACACTTCAGAGGAATACGCCAAGAGAAACCTACTTCATCAGCACCTGAAGAAAGCCAGAGAAGCATCTAATTCTGCATTTATTAAAAACAATATTCTGTATGCCAATGGCGAAGCATTTCTCTGGGAAAAGCTAAAGTATGACGATATTGACGACCATCAGGACGAAGGAGTCAATAAGACAGTTATCTCTGAGCAGAATAAAAATACCGAAGAACAACTGATTCCTCAAGATACGAAAAGAGGGGAAAAGAGACTGCAAGATGAACCAAGCAAGGCCAACAAGATAGTTCCAGCAGGCTCACCTAAAAGTACCCCTACTTCGTCGCACAAAGGGCCTAAACTACGCAGTAACTGTGCTTGAGTTGTGTGTTATTTGCTTAAATTTACAAAGGCTCAGCGCCTTCCTATACCTGCCTTGTTTTGTCGATTTATTATTATGTGTTTATCTGGGTGTTTTTATTAGTATTGCATATACTTGATGCATTTTCATTATTCTGTATAAATCTAATATATCTATCACGTGGTTACACTCATTCTACTTGCAAAATCTGTTGGCTCCTCTTTAAGAATAAATAATCTTTCGCCAGATCCAAACCAACTTCGCTGGAAGACATTCATTTACTTATTTATTTTACCTGTTTTCAATATGTCAAGACATCTAAAATTCATGAGCTTCAACGTAAGGTCAACTCAGTTTGGTTCTTTATTTTTGAAGGAGTATGTTGTTGACTGTGCTGTCGATATTCTGGGTCTCAGTGAGACTTGGCTAACTCCAGACGTTGATACCTCTTCAGTATCAATGTTATTCGTTAGAGCAGATCGAAATAGCAGAGGTGGAGGCGTCGCGTCTTATGTGAGAAATGGTATTGCCTTCAAAATATTGCACTCTAATATCACCACAGTATTGGAAGCATATTGGATCTCTGTAAAGGTTAATACACGCAAATATTGTGTAGGTGTAGTCCACCGTCCACCATCGGTAAACGTTCATGATTGTTTTCATTAATTAACTGAGCCTTTAGCCAACTTTTCACTCGATAATGATTACGCAATTCTCATGGGCGATTTTGATATTAATGTTTTAGTGAACGACGGCTGACCCGAGATATTTAGCTGTTTTTTGGGTCCTTTGATCTTTCCCAGTTAGTAAAATAGCCCACCCGCTATAGACTTGCTCATGTTACCTCTGCTGATATAATAGGTAGTTATGAAGTTGTTGATGTAGCTGGAATATCTGAACATCTGGCCTCAATATTATATGTAGATGCATCGGAGAAACCTATGTAAGCTGAGGACGTATCATGATTACTCACCTTTAGTCTAGCTATTTCTACCATGATTTACTTTTAATAAACAGGGATTTTATATTTACCTTGAGAGATGTGTATCAAATGATTGACTTCCTGAGATCTAATATCTTGTCCACCTTCAACTTTCATGCTTCTGTTAGAAAAACTCGTGTTACCAAGTCACCAGCTCCTTGACAAACATTCAACATAAAACTCAGGATGCAAACAAAAAGTGACGCATATAAAAGGCGAGAGAAAAAAGCCTACCTCGATTGTGTTATGTGACAGAAAAATTCGAAGGCTACATGGAATATACCCAGATCCTTCAATATCGTTACACATAACTCCATAAGTCTACCTCCACATCTTCAGGATCTCGATTAATTAAATAGTGCTTTTTGAAAGTACCTCCAACAACCAAAACATTAACTCAATTAAACCTTTAGATAAATATGATAACGTCAAGAATAATGGTACTTTTCTGTTCACGACAGTTTCACCTGCCATTGTAGATAAATTTATCTCTCGCATCAAAGGTCATGCTAAAGGCTCAGGTGGCATCACAATTGATATGATATATTGATATAGTACATAAGCATTTGCTCAAGTATATTTCCTTCATTATTAACTTTTGTATAACAAATAATCTTTTTCCCTCCTCCTGGAAGAATGCTTTTGTTCTCCCTCTGCCTAAATCTAATAATCCTTCTAGTTTTCTTCGTCCTACAAGCAAAAAATTCTCATGACTAATATATACGTAAAGCGTCAAACAAACAAGCAGCTATTTGGAATGTGATTAAAGCCAATGGTGCGCAATCAGCAAAATCTCATTCGTCTACTCTCAACGCGAATGATTTAAAACGCTTTCTTCGTCAGCATTGCTGAAACCATTATTGCTGAAATTCCAGCTACCCAGTCGAACTTAAAAGATTTTATACAGACTAGTGTTACACTACATTTCATTTTTCGAACTGTTTCATTCTATGATGTTCGAGACGCATTCAAAAGCTTAAAGAACTTTAAAAGTAAAAATCCTTATGACTTCGACGTTAAAATTATGAAGACCTTAAATAACTTGATAGTATATCCTATAACAAAATTGATAAACATGTGTATAGAAAATAATGTCTTTCCTGCCTTATTAAAACTTTAAAAATTATGCCACTCTTCAAGAAGGATGTGAGAATGATCCATGTAGTTTCAGACCCATTTCTATAACACCAATAATAGCAAAAAATTTTGAAATACTTCTGAAGGATCAGATATGTGAATACTTCGAAGGTAACTATTTATTCTGTAGCAACCAGCTTGGATGCCATACCAACAGATCAACGAAAGCAGCAATAAACGATTTTATCGGTTTCATCAACAAATGGCTGGAAGATAACATGTTTGCTCTCGCTAACTTCTATGATCTTACAAAAGCATTTGATTGAGTCCAACATCACATTTTGATTCAAAAGTTGTCACAATATGGGTTTAGTAATAACAGCCTGTCCTTAATTGCGTCTTATTTATCAGACAGAAGACAGTATGTTAGTTTTCAAAATTGTTTATCTAACAATGTACATATTAAGCACGGAGTTCCCAAGAGAAGGGTCTTGGGGCCGATTCTTCTTTTGATTTACATCAATGATCTGCCAAAACTGTAGCATCAATCAGTATATATTATTTGCGGATGACACAACATCAATATACTCCAATCGTAACTTTGACCATATATTACTCAATTCTCAGCAGCATTTTGACAACATTCAAAACTGGTTTAATGCCCACAGTTTGTCAAAAAACATAGCGAAAACTCAATCTCTTCTACTCAGTACTCGTCCGCATAGAAGTAATTTTAGTAGAACCCGTGATATTTCTTGGAGTGATTATTGATGCAAGCTTAACTTGGGAATCATACGTCACCTCTTTATCAAGAAGTTATCCTAAAATAACATATATGATACGTAGTTTCAATACCTAGGTAATAAAATCGACGCTAATGACAGCCTATTATGCTTACTTCCAATCTAACAGTACTGCATACTGATTTGGGGTCATTCATGTCATGTATCGAAGGTGTTTGCTGTTCAGAGACGATGCTTGATAATAATAGCAAACTTACATTTCAGACAGTTGTTGCAAGACGACATTTATCGACCTTAAAATTTTAACTGTGCCATGTATATATTCAGGGTGGGCCCATCCACGTGTTGCTTTTTTTTGGTATGAGATTTTATTCAGATAAAATTACTAGATTTTGAGTTATTGTGCCTTTTAATAGAACAACACACAAAATTAAGAAAAAAATCACATCATGCATGGACACAAATCCAAACTTGCAAAAATGTACAGGGTGATGCATTTGAAATTTTTGAGAAAAAGTACAATTTGCGTTTTTGGCCACCCTGTATGAGCAAAAATTAAAATTCGAAAAAGTAACAAATAAGATAAAGGCTGAGGTGGTGTAGGTTTTTTTTATACAAAAATCAGCTACTCCAAATTTCAAAATGGCGGACTGAGAGGTTGCCGAGGTGGGGAGTTTTTGTAGACAAAACACCTTATATCTCAGTAGCGAATTACCAAAAACTCCATACTATGTTATATCAATTTCTTCTTCTTTAATTAGTATATCCAAATATGCAATATAATTTGAGGCATTCCATTTAAAAATCAGAAACTTTGATATTTAGGTCAAACTGGCCCACCCTGTATATTTGCCAATATTTTAGAAATGTGCCCTCAAATGTCATGTATAACATGGCCCGTCAATAGATTTTCCCAAAATGTATGTGTTTATGAGCAATATTCCGTCTCACATGGATGGGCCACCCTGTATACTGGAATGTCTGATTCACGTTAAAAATAATTACGATGATTACAGAACTCCGAAAGAGATTCACAAATATAACACAAGGTTCAAAAATGAGTTAATACCAGAGTACACAAGACTATCAAAAACTAGACACGGAAGTAATTATTTCGGCGTGAGATTTTTTAATGCGATGCCCAGGTTTTGTCAAACAATCAACTGAACCATTTTTAAAGCAACTGTGAAAATATATCTAGCTTTTTACAGCATAGATGAGATTTTAAATAATGATTTTCACCGACTTTGTTCCATAATTGTTGACTATTTGTTTTATTACTTTGTTTTCGTTTGTGTTTTTTGTATATGCGTTATTTTGTATTACATTTTATTGTTCTCCAGAGACTTTTGAGTACAAATATGAAAAAATTATCATCATTTCATAATTTGTGAACTATCTCATTTTATTGTTCATCTAAATTTTAAACTAGGTTTTATCATGTTTTTTTTTACCTTTTATTGCCACTTTGTACGTTTCTTATTTAAGTATTGTTTGTTGTTTTTACTTACTCTTCTATGCTCTACTCTAACTGACCTGTGCAAATACATTTTTGTGTAATAGTACCAATAAATTATTATTATTATTATTATTGCTATTATTATTATTGCTATTATTATTATTAATATATCTACTTCTTTATTCAGGAATTTTGGTGTTCCCTCAAGGGCCTATTTTGAGTCCCCTTTTATTTGCTCTTTATATATGTGATTTTCATGAAACCGCCAGCTACTCAGTTCATAATTACGCGGATGACACCCAACTTTATAACAGTTCCGATTCTGATGAATATATGCTTGGGCAACAACAGATAAATCAAGATCTGCAGTCTATTTTTGACATATCTAGTGCTCGCAATCTAAAACTGAATGCTGGCAAATCTTGCCGCATTTTATTTGGGCCCTAAAAGAATCGTGAAGTAAATTAAGATCGCATTAATATTATGGTGAATAATGAAGACATAGGATTTGGAAACGAATGCAAAAACCTTGGTATCTGGTTTGACTGCAAGCTAAGCTTGTTAACCAACTATGCAAGGCGTCCTATAATGAGCTTCGTCAGTTATACCCGAGTCGAAGTGTCCTGTCAACACAGCTCAAGCTGAAACTCTGCGAATCCTTAATCCTGCCAAAATTACCTTACGGTGACTCTGTTAATGGACCTGCTCTCCTACAACGTGATGCCGAGCGGATTCAGATGATACAAAACTTATGCATCAGATTTTCTTATGGAATCCGTAAATTTAATCATATCAGTGGCGCTTTTGAGCAATCGAGATGGTTAAAGATGAACAAATTGAGAAAACTGCATTGTCTATCACTGGTACATCATACCCCTCTACTTAAAGCGCCATATTATCTTTATTCAAAGCTAACCCTCCTCTGTCATTACGATCAAAGGTCCTCTAGGAATAAACGCATCTTACTCATCCCGCGGCATTCGACAGCATTGTTCATAAGTAGTTTCTCGTACTGGGCACCCAAACTATATAACTGATTGTCAAGAGGGTATAAAGAATATAGCCTAAGCAGTTTTAAAAAAAAAGGTTAAGGATGAGCTTAAAGCAATCAGATGGCTAGAATTTAACTTTACCCATATCCACAGGTAATTAATTGTTTTCTTTTTCTGTCCAGAGTTACAACGAAAAAAGGAAATACCAGTGCCCAAATTTGAATGTTCAGTCGAAACATCGCAAACATTGAATTCCTAGTCAATGTACCCTATGATTCAGAAATCTTTCTCTTGCCTATCTAAATTATTATCAGGTTGACTGCCATGGCGGTACTATACGACCGCCTGGTAGATATGCCAGTATGCCATGGCGGTCGTATATGACCGCTATGCACCCGATGAAATATTCGATACTCTGCCAGCGGTCGTATTTAGAATGTTTTAAGATACGGTACACGACCGCTGTGGCTTACAAGGCCCGCATGTAACTGCGAGTTTTGGAATTGTTCAAAAATTATTGACAAAAAAGCAATTTTCATTTATTTATTTTTTATTGACAAAATTAAAGCAGCTACACGAAACAACAAGAAAAAAGTATAATATACTATACTAAGTGACATATAAATCCGAACACCCAGTTTAAATGGTTTTATTTTAATAAAAGTTGGTGAATGTATTTATCTTACTGTAAATAACAAGTGAAAAAATTTTCAGCCTTATCAGT